GACAAGATACTAACTCTGACTACAGAGTTTATTTATTTAAAAATAAACAAGGTTATTGTTTTTTTTTTTTCCTTTCCTGGAAAGTTGTTTTGCAGATTGACAACAATGAGCAGAATTGTTTTAGGGATGCACAGATATAAAAATTTCAGCCCATATCTGATATTAATATTATTGGTATGGCCGATAACTGATATTACACAAACACACAAATTATGTATATGCATATACGCACAGACATACTTGTGTCTTTTTTTGATACTGTAAAAAACAAATTTATCGCTGACATGGTTCTCTACTTCAATTACTGGCTTTGCAGCATCGAATAGACACCGCTCAACCAACCACTTCCCCTCGCAAATCAAAAACACAAACAGCAGGACATCAATATCAGCCCAGTGTTATTTATCAGACTGATACCGATATGCTAAAAAATGACTAACATCGGCCGATACAGATGTTAATGCCAATATATCGTACATCCCTAGAAATTGTGTTCAACTCAAAATCACTGTTATTGACTCACCAAAAGAAATCTATTCCAAAGATCCAGGAACTTAAATCGTCCTGAAAGAACCAGGTTCCAGTAGGCTACAGCCATCTCTAAATCTGCAACACAAAGAGGAACAAATCTGTTTTACGTACTCGTGAATCAAAACCACCAGCTAACAAAACGTTATCAATTTCCCTCTACTTACCAAGTCCCTTCTGTCCGGGATTTTTGGCAAAATTAAAAGTGAATTGGTAGAAGTCTTTAAACTTCCCGCTGTCTTTAAGCTCCTGCTCTAATCTTGGCAAAATAGCTTTCAGTTTTTCAGGACTGTCACACCTGAAACAAAATAAGCAAAACAGACAATTTAGTAAACATGATGAAAACATAATGAAGACGGCCCAACCAACTGTAACATGATCATATTGATGCTGAAGGAAAGCTGGCTGATAGGGACTTGGACACAAACCTCAAAAGTCAAAACACGGCGACTTTTCATTGAGTCATCGCACAYAGATACAGATTACCCTGGCTGTGGGTCAGTCTATATTTAGACARCTATTCTTTCCAGAAGCTACATGTGGAAATACTTAGTTTGTCACAAGCTGCTGATTTCAACACTCACCCTAGCTCCGTCATTCCATCCATAAACTCCTTCTTGGTGAACTCGCACTGAGTGGCGGCATGAAACTTCCACGCAACGACCAGCACAGTGATGCTCGCCGGATCCAGCGAGAGGTCATCACAAAACTGCTGGATCCCATCAATACCAATCTTATTCTCATCCTGGGGATCTGTAGAAATAAAGGGAACAGTAACAGTCCACAACGTGCCGTCTGTAACTCCARGTAAACACTTTGGGATCAACTTGAAAGTATCGCAAGTTGTATAATTACAGAGCAGATTTGAAGGTTATCGTGCTRACCTTTATAGCGATTGTAAAGTTGTTCCAGCTTTTTCCGGTCCACCGACGTTTTCATGGATTCCTTACAGTAAAGCTCTGGATTTTGAAAGTAGTTATCTGTCGCGACTTCTAGTTTCCAGTCATTCTGTGTGAGGCAGTACACGGCTGTCTTCTCCCCAGCCTGTGTAAAGGACATGAACTGCCGTACCTTGTCCCTCTGCGAAGACTTCAGCTTATGCTGCGCAAAGACGGGACAGGGATGGTCAGACACCAGCGCTATCAGACAGGAAAACACAGACAGCAACACACCCACACACAACAAAACATAAACATCTACAGGCATTCAGGCAACAGTGGATGGACAGGAAAAGACCAGGAGACACWCAAAAACTCACACTTCAGCCGTCACACTAAGACATACACACAGACAAGATGAGCCAAAGCAAGATGAGAGTAATTATATCCTGTCCAAAAGCAACATGGGCTTTTCTGAAGAGGGGTGCTGTGGACACTCAAAAGCACATGCTGTACCTCTGAAGGCCCCCACAGATAACTACAGTCATCGAGGTAACATGAGTATGGAAATGAGATGCCATCACGACAACCCAGAGGTGCAAAAAGTCTGCAGTGTAACACAACCACTCCACCAAACTACCAAGAAATATAAAAGCTAAAAATAAAATAAATAGAACGTAACACAYAAGCTCAACAGTTGTGTAATCAGGGACAATAAGTATTATAGTGTGTATTATCCTTTGTGAGAGCACGTCAAGTTCATTACACTGTAATCTACATGAGCAGCAACTTGACTTTAGGGATAGTATTTTTGACACACCTCATTTAACCTGAGTGCGAAGAGATCAGGTAAGAYCTTAGCTAAAATTTCTGCATGCAAGGCAGTGGGCATTTCCTTCAGTTAATGTTTTATTATGACTTAAAAGCTACAGATGGCAGCTTATTTCCAACACTTACAGCTGCTGACAGAAATGCATCAATACAATGTTGCAGTTTAATTTTGTAGGAAAGCATGGTAAATATATCAACTTGGTAGCTCTGATTTGCTCATTTTCTTCTGTAATCTTCTATAGTATTTAAAGTGATGTTTTTGAGTTTTGGACATATATTTATATTTACATGTGGATGTCACCATAAGGGTGTAGAAAATACTGCTGAGACTTTGCAATATTTATGACGTTTCATTATAATCCAAACGATTTAAAGTAGCTTTTGCACATTAAAAACTACATTGTTTAAGATGAATCTCAATGCCCTGTAGCAGTTCCAGCTTTGGGCACTTTTTTAAGCAGTATTTCCTGAAACCGGAGGATAAAAACTAAAGAGTTCAACGAACTGCTAACTACTGCACTGACGACTTGATTGGTTCATATTATGAAATGTACATTAGGTCAGATATTTCTGCTGTTTCCTCATCAATCAAGCCAAATGACTGTGCTACCAGATAGGTAGTTAGCTTTGTCTACTGCTGGCTGGCTAACGTTAGCTGAGTTAGCTACAATACTGTGACATTATTGTTATTTTTAAATGAAACCTCGGGATACGACTGTCAGTGTTATTATATATAAGCTTGGGTTTCACTAAAACAACCATGTGCGTGTCTGCCTTTGAGGTGCAGCGGTTGACCTGCTCACAGACGAAGTTACCAGACTGCCAAAAAAGGGACGAGTAGCTAATGCTAGCTGCTCTCAAAATATCAATTGACCTTCCCTGTTAAAGCAGCGAATACAAATAACTGAGTTCTGTAAGCTTGACAAAGCGCGCCACATCATGCACTTTAATAAGACGACAACAGTCCTGAAGATAAAGCCGTCACAGCACTAATATCAATGTCTGGGTTTGTGTTTATTTTGGTTACCTACCATTTTTACACTCGCTGTTTGACCAGTTTAGTAGCCCGTCTTGTTGCCCAATGTGCGCATGCGCGGAGGAAGTAGCTAACTTGATGCCAGAGGTTTGCATCATCTGTTCTGATGTTAGCTTCAAATTGTTTACTAATAAAGCCGTCTACTTTGTGCAGAGTCCTTCCAAACTCAGAAAAAAAACCGGTTTATGAGTATGTTTGGGCCACTTTTGATAGGAAAGTACAATAATTTACTAAAGTGCTTCTAATACCACAAAGACACAGTGTACACAAAAGATGGATTAAAATGCATGACACTTGTGGTGAAAAAGTGTGTGTGTGTGTGTGTGTGTGTGTGTGTGTGTGTGTGTGTGTGTGTG